GCCTTGCATGCAGCAAGCATACATAGACCACCTCATAACCCAACCCGGTCCATGCCACCCACCCTGCCTGGCGCATGTGCAACTATGTCTGGATGTATGTATCTGTGTGGTGGTGGTGGTGGTGGTGGTGGAGCGGATTATCAAGAAGCGTGTGTCATGGTTCTGCACGTCTTTTTTTTTCTTCCTTCTTCTCTTTCGCTCTCAGCCCCGCCGAAAAAGCAAGCGGCAACAGGGATAGCCAACCGCTAACATGGGCAGCGACGACGGCCGGAATGCATGACTGCATCGAGGGACAAGCGTGTTTGAGGTGGGTGTGGGTAGGGCTGGCTTATCGATATGTTCGGGGGGGGGGGGGTTGCTGCAGCCACGACAAGGCTATCCCATCCCGCCTTGCTGGGCTGGCCTGACGCCCACGGTGAACTGACTAGCCGTGTGTTGGCGACCAGTTGGCAAGCGCCTCTTTTTCTGTCGCCGTGGTGGAGGAGGATGTCACCGTCACCAGCGTGCTTTTGCTTTTGCAGGCTGAGCAGTGGGCGAACCTATGGAAGCATCCGTCTGGGACCGTTGTTGTTGTTGTTGTTGTTGTTGTTGTTGTTGTTGTTGTTGTTGTTGTTGTTGTTGTTGTTTCCGCCCCTCTCCCTTGGTTGGATGCGCGCGTTAGTTAGCGGAGCATGCATACGGCCACGGACAGCATACCGGACGCAGGCCATGCATGTATGAGAGCGAGAGCGTGCGCGTCCCACGAGCGACTTAGTCAGGATACTAGACTACGACTAGGTGCACTTGGTCCGGCCACGACACCTTACGCGTGAACCGGTTTGAAACAGCCTAGTCTACACGCCCAAGAAAGCGCCCCGGGCGGCGATGCACTGGGCGCCCGGCCCAAGGGAGAGAGCGCGACAGAGCGAGCGAGCCTTCTCGAACAATCATCGAAGCCCCCGCTAGCATGCCGGGCCACGCCCGCCGCCCTGCACGGCATACCCGTCGTTCGCAGCCTTGCTCGCTCCTGCCTCTTGTTGTCCTTGGCCATGCGCGCTATGGCTTTTCAGGCACCCACCCTCTCCTTCGCCAACCCTCATCCTCTCTCTCTCTCTCACACACTCACCCCGCAGGCATAACCACCACTCTCGGCCAGCCCAGTCAATGCATGCACACATGACGCCAACCACCCACACCCGACTCCTCGCCCGCCCGACATCAGCACGTGGGCCGCCCCAAGATGCGACGGCCTCTGCCTCACGCTCCCTCTGCCCGTGACCCCATTGTTGTTTTTTTGCTGCGTGCTTGGGGTTGCATGTCGCCCCGTGGTGTTCGCATGATCCGAACTGCCAACCTGTTCAAACGCCCGCGCACGCCCAGAAAAGAAAAGGAAAAAAAGAAAATACGACGCTCCGGCGCCCGCTGCCTGGGCTGCCTGGGCTGCCTGCCTGGTAGCGAGCGGACTAGGCCAGCTACTAGCTGCCCCTGATGGGTGCGTATTGTCGGTGTGCGTAGGTGGGTGAGTGCGCCCATCTTGTCGACGTAAAAGAAAAAACAAGACGACAAAGACAAGAGACACGGCGACGACGAGGGCGCAAAAGAAAGAGGCGTGCTCGTGCACCTGCGACAAGGCCATGGGCCACGACCGGCCGCGCTTCCGTTCGCTCGTGCTCGCTGCGCGCCTTCGAGAAGCCTTCCCAAAGCGGGCGCCACCGAAATCTCCCACCTGTTCGCCAAACGCGATTCATGCCTCATGACGACAGCTCGTCAACCTGATCCGGCTCTCCTCCTAGCCTGCACCTGTGCCTGTGCCGGTGCCTGTGCCGGTGCATCCCTGCCATGGCTTTCCTTGCTCTCGCTAACCAGGGCGTTCCCGTCCTCGCCCGCCACCAAACCTTTGCGAGTCACATGACTTTAGCCCTACTCCCCTTGCATGCTTCCTTTTTCCGCCGCTCGACGCTTTGTTTCTGCCTCGGGCCCTCTTCCCGCCTTCCGCTCCCTAGATGCATGCGCATACACAGAGCTCTACACACACACACACATGCGCACACAGGCTTTCGCTCTCCCTCTCCCTCTCCCTCTCCCCCTCC